TTCACTGGCGTGAAAACACACAGTTCAGTGCCAAATCTTAAAGAAGCAGAAATAGGACGGAATCTTCACAAATAAGAGTCCCATTCAGTGCCGTATAAATGCTACAGCGGCAGAAAGCACTAATAAATCCTTTTTTTTTTTTTTTTTAATAACATTTTGCAGGTGGCCGCTGATGGCCTTTACTGCGCCACCGGAGAAAAAGGGCGAGCTGAAGGCTCATAACCCCTAAAACAAACTTAAAGCTAAGTAGCGGGCCTGAGGGCGCCCAAGTGGGCACGGACCTCGGCTCAGGGCGCTACTGGAGACTTCCGCCAGAAGGGCGTGCTGTTGGAGAGAATCTACCAGTGTACGTGCTAAAATGAGGGGCTCTACGACCTCGCCGACGAGGACGGTTGGTGCGTGCGGGACGGGACTGACTAGAAATCTGGTTGGCCTTCAAAGTGGCGAGAGTGATAGGGTCGTCAGGGTCGTTGAGGACTTCCCTTGGCCGACGGGTCCTACGTACGCGGTGGGGTTGTTCCCTGAGGGGGTCGTAAGAGGATGCAGCCACCACGAGGGGGTTGGGGTGGTGAGGAGCAGAGTCGAAGTATTTCCTCGACGCCTGTTTCATGAATTGGGCTATTGTGGGGAGCCGTAAATCTATATGGAGGTTAGCGTTGCGCAGGTACCACGGGGCACCTGTCGCGTTGCGCATGAATCTATTTTGGAGAGCCTGCAGGCGGTGTATTAACGCGGGATTTGCCTGAGCGAATGCGACGCTGGCGTACGTCATGATAGGGCGGATGCAGGTCGTGTACAGTCTCACCTTATTGCGAAGGGAGAGTTTACTAAGCTGGTTGAGAAGGGGATGAAGCCGGCTCATAACAAAGTGGGCGCGATCGCGGACGGTTTTCACGTGTGCTTTGAATGACAGCTTCCTATCGAGCGTAACTCTTAAGTATTTGACCGTGTTCACCCAGGGGATTAGGCGGTCAAAGAGCGAGATCGGGGTGAGGTTTTGTACCCTACGACTGGATAGGTTACTTCGCGTGAAGAATACCGCCGCGCTTTTGTCGGGATTGACTTCGATTCTCCATCTGCGAAACCACTCGCCTAGGCGTGTGGTGGCAGATTGGAGAGCCGCGGAAACTAACTTGGAGCTGCGCGCCGAATAGTAGAGCGCAGTGTCGTCGGCAAAGAGGGCGAGATTTACTGCCTGATACTTGGGGATGTCGCAAGTGTACAAGGAGAAAAGGAGAGGCGAGAGGACAGAGCCTTGCGGGACTCCAGCTCTTACGGGGTGAGGGGAGGAGAGTGCGCCCTCAACTCGGTAGCGGAAAGAGCGGTTCGACAAGAAGTCTCGAATGATGTGCACGAGACGATCAGGCACGCCGAGTTTATACAGCTTGTAAAGTAAGCCGTTGCGCCAGACTTTGTCGAAGGCTTTTGCCACATCGAAGAAGAGGGCGCCGGTGGGCATGAAGCGGGGGCGATTGAAGCCTTCGGAGATGTGTTCCACTATCCGGTGTACTTGCTGGACGCATGAGTGCCTAGCTCTGAAACCGAACTGTTCGTCGGGGAGGAGATTGTGAGACATGACGTAGTCTCTGAGGCGGGCGTATAGGATGCGCTCATAGAGTTTGCCCATGGTGTTAAGCAGGGAGATGGGACGGTAACTGGAGGGCTCAGATGGAGGTTTCCCGGGCTTGTAATACCGATGACCACCGCCTCTTTCCACTTTTGCGGAAAGATGCAGTTAGTCAGAGCGGCGTTAAAAATTGCAGTCAGGAGACAGATGAGGGGTGCAGAAAGCTGTTTAAGCACCTTGTTGGAGATACCGTCAGGGCCTGGGGCTTTGCGGGGCTTAAGGTCCTTTATGAGCGATTATACTTCCTTTGGGGTGACCGGGGGGAGGGGAGGGTCGGAGGGCGGGAGGGTCGCTCTGAGTTCGACCTCGGAGTCCACCTGGAGGAGGTGGGTCGGGTCGACCGGCTCTAGGCTGGGGGAGCACTGGGCTTCGAGGCTGTCGGCCAGGCATTCGGCCTTTTCCTCGTCGTCAAATGCTGGGGTGCGGTTGGGTCGGTTAAGGGGGGGCATTTGGGCAACTGTGTGAGAGAACGGGTTAGTTGCCAGAAGGCTTGGTGGGTGGGCTCGAGCCCTTCTAGGAGCTTTTCCCATCGACTTTGACGTACCTTGTCCATACGCGTCTTTACGTCCCTCTGTAAAGCCCGCAGGAAACGACGGTTTTCGTCGGTGGGGTAAGAGTCGTAAGCACGAGTGGCTGCGTTCTTTTCCGTTAGAAGGGCACGCACATCCTCCGGTAGGTTCCAGAGACGGTCGTCCGTCGCCGGTGCCGGCCGGGAGCTGTTACAAACGGCGGTTTGTATGTGTCCCTCTAGACGGTCAATAGCACAGTTGGCGTCTACGACTGAAGAGATCTCGTCCGGAATCTGAACTAGGTGTTCAGACTCGAGGAAATTGAGGTCATGACTCAACTTCCCCCAGTCCAACACCGATTTAACGGGGGCGCAAGGGTCAGGGGGGGCTATGTCCGAACGAGGGGAGAGGTGAAAGAGGACAGGGCGGTGATCCGAAACTAATTCATGAACGACGTGGATTGAGTCTAATCTAAGGTTAATTTTTTTAAATAAAGCTAAGTCTAGGATGTCGGGGCGGTAATTTACGTTATGCGGATAGTGGGTGGGCTCTAGGGGCGCAATTATATCGAAATGCATGGATTCGGATAGCGTCATGAGGGTGTTACCGCGCGGGTTGGTGGTGTTACAATTCCATGCAGTATTTTTGGCGTTAAGGTCGCCAGTCAGAATTACTGAATCTCCTAGGGACAAGAGGGTTTGCAGGTCTTCGCGAATTAGCGATCGGGAAGTATCAGGTGAAAGATAGGCCGAAATGAGAGTGATCGGTGGGTGGCCGGTGAAGCCGAGCCGACACGCCGATGCTTCGATGTACGTTGTAGGGGGTGGGTCGAGGGGGATGCAGTGAAGTGACCGTTTGTAGTATATAATGGTACCGCCGAGGGGCGAGTTCAATCTATCGTTGCGTACCGCGCAATAGTTGGCAAACATGGGGGTTCGAGCGGAGGGTTTAAGGAAGGTTTCTTGAATTAACAGGACATCGAGTTGGTGGTACTAATAAATCCAAATATATGAGATGACTTTACACTATTGAAGTTAACAAAACGATAGCGCGTTTCAGAGTACAACTAATGCCATCTAGCAGTGGCGTGATGGACCTAATTGCATGTTAAAGTTGTGCTTGTTACAAGTGTAGTTGGATTTCATGCTGAAACCAAATTTCTTAAATTATGACTACAAATAACACACTAACAAACTAGAGATATTAGGTATTGTTTCTTTGGATAAATGACTGTTTATGATTTTTATGATTACAAGCACAAGTAAAAGTAATCGTTACCGCGTGCGTCTTCGGCGACATGTCACGACAACATTGACTATGAAAAGCAACGAAATGTTGCTTAATATAAAAATATAAAAATAATAAAAATATACTCTAGAATTTAGAATATTAATCTTAATAGCAAACTACTTCTTTTTTTGTTTAAGAATATATTTTCTTAAAATGCACCCAAGAAATTTTGAATTCATTTAAGACTATTTAAATTTGACGTAAGAGATAAAAATTTCTTGATGTAAGTAATGTCCAATTAATTGATTAGAAATGAAACAAAATCTTGAAGTGAACGTATTTGTCTAAAAGTTAGAATAACTTTAAGAGTAAAATGTATTAGAAAAACAGAAGCAGTATTTTCGTAATGACAATATTTTATTACTTTTAATAAATATTTTTTCAGAATTAGCAAATATTTTGAGAAATTGCTCTTTCTTTTTAGTAGAAATCCTTATTTCTGTGCACTAACTGCAAACATGCAATCACTAACAGTTGATTAAGCCCAAGTATTCAAGAACATTTCGTATAATCATCATTAAGAGCGTTAATGTTTCGGGGGTTCAATTTTAAATCAAACAACCTTGGACTTAGCTATTTCATAGGTAAATAAGATAAAGTAGCTGTAGAGCTCATTGTGAAAGAATTCGTCCAGGGAAGTACTGCCACCTTACCTAGTTCTGCCGTCAAGCAGTAATGTCAGCATTACTGCTTTCCGGGTTTGAAGGGTAAGGGTGCTGGTGAAATTACAGGCACATGGGGCTTGTCAACTTATGTTTCAGGGTGACGGGCGCAGTGACAGTGCTTCTCACATCTTTGTGATTTAAAGCTCTGAGTGGCACTGCAACTGTTATGGACAGGCGTATAGCTTACTATCAGGCGCACGACTTGTTCATCCCGTCACTTGATAATATAAAACAAAGTACACAACTTATACCAATCTATATAACGCCCATTAGAACGTAAAAATTATAGCATTTGCGTCGTTTCTTCAAAAAAGCATGTCACGTTTTATAAATTGGAGCGATTTAAAGCATTGTCTGCAGCCACAATGGTTGCTAGCGCTATAAACGCAATGAGTCAATTAGTGACAACAAACGCTTTATAGACTTTATGGTTATACTAATAGATGGCATCCTGTAAAAGAAGCTATAAAGAGGGAACGAGGATGCCATGAAGTGTGGAATGTCGGAAATGGTATTCACGAGTTGTTGGTTTATTAAAGAGCACTGCTATTTATCTAATTTTGAAGTTCTTGAAACCGTAATGTAACCTCAATAAAGGGTAAGGTATGAATATGTATAAATAGCATATTTTTTGTAGCCTTATTATAGCTGCTGATGTTTCTATGGTAAGCCTTTGCGACTCGATTACGTGATATGAATCGCAAAGTATTTTTTTTAAATTAAATTTTATTAACAATTCAGGCAATTTACTAAGCCCATTTCGGTCGTTGTTGACATTTAAGCTTCATTAATATTTAAATCTTTATTTTATGCAACATTACAGTGATCGATATTGATTTGTGACAATACCTTTTTACTACCTCTTCAGTACTTACTTTAAAAAGAATTACTAATATTGGCTTAACGTACCTTGCCCTTACGGTAGTAACAACAACACCAGGTGGTTGTTCTTCCGCCACTGAAGCTACGTACAACGGTTGTTCGAAGTATGGTGATTGATTCCTCAGCTCCCTCTTCACTCTTCTTGCTATATCAGTCTCATTTAACTCTTGATGGTGGTACACGATCTTTAGACGATGATCCGAATCTATGATGTTCGATTTATCGCAGTTGAACGTGAATAAAACCGATATTTTCCAAATTGGCTCTTGAATGCAAACGTCACTACTTGCTACCAAATCGCCTTGACTAGCCTCTATTATAAATCGCGGATCGCTGACATCCAAGAACTGAACTTTGCACATCTTCTGAACAGATCGTGGCAAAAATGCTGTTAAAGAATTTACAAATTGAGATTTCTTCAGGCAAATACCTTGCCACTTGTCCGTAGTAGGTATAGCAAAGCTGGCATACGTTTCAGATACCCATTGTTTCGCCTCAGCGATCTTGATATCAATAGACATGTCAAATGGAATAAGCTGATGAGATCTCTTCGTCCTATTCCTATTGTTACTAAAGTCATCAAACATGACGTTCGACCACGGTATCGCCGTGGACAAAACATTATATTGACTAGAGACTAATTCGTCTGCTTCTAACAACCTCCAGTCTATGCTCTCTATATGCACTTCTCTCTTATCTCTAATATTATCCTCATCCTCATATTGTAACGCTGAATCACTTTGATCGTACACCCTATCGAAATCTATGTCATACAAATCTGCGTGTCGTCTATTGCAGTCCTCTCCAATAACTAGAACTCTTATAGGCAGACTGTAGTATTCTATGTCTCTAATTCTGTCGGAAGTAGAGTCAACGTAAAAGGTGAACAAATTGGGATAGAAAACTCCATCACATCTGAGTCTTTTTCTTAAAGTTACGAGGCCGGTGGTTCGGTTGACTCGTAGTATATGGTGGACAAAATTGGCGGTTCGATGTACGTCGATGGAGTATTTTCTTTCGGAGCCGAGTTTGTAGACGGCAGCATCGAGGACGGGGTGTCCGGAGGGTGCAGTGTCGGGGACGAGCACGAGGTAGGCGCGGGCAGCCGCCAGGAGTGCAACGGCAAGTAATGCCCGCGCCCATAGCCGTGCCGCCATGGTCGCACTTCACCTGTAACTGCAGCGCTTACCCCGCGCCCATATGTCACTCTGACTCGTCATCTGTAACAAAACATTATATATTAATTATGGTAGTATGTCTCCACTTTACTCATAATAATTTTATTTAAGATCTTTGATCTTAGAAGACTTTGTTAGTAATAATTGAAAACTTAGGACTGTGTTAGTAAATTACACTTAAAAAAATATAAAATAATCAAAGAAATCATTGAAATTAACAATAGGTATAGGCAATTACATTAAAACGAAAAATTTATCTAAAACGCTTTGAGCTAATACGAAACGAAAATTTAATTATGTAATGTCATATTTTGGATTAAAAGACACTTCGTCTGATTTCGCGAACTTTTTATTCGTCTGTATATAAATATACTTACATGGCGTTTCTCTTTTTTTTTTTTCGCCATATCGTACATGATCAACATTTCGTCAAGCATGATACCTAAGACTTAAATTCAATTCTATGAAATGAAATGCCGAACTTGAAGTGCTCAAGTAAATGCACTAAAGACATAAAAAAAGTTTCATTCACTCTCAAATCAATATTTCTTACGATTTTGTTTAATAAAATGGGAATATCTGAAATAAACAAGCAAAAAGAAAGTTTCTAAACTTTTCTTATTATTATTATTAATCGAACTTTGTATTAATAATAATAAACTTAGAGAGTTTTCAAATTTCAAATTGTGTTCGATCTTTGTAATAATAATAAAATTAGGGATTTTGAAATTTTTCAATTTATGTTCGATAATTATTCATTTGTGTAACACAAATTAATAATTATAATTAAGGAGTTATAAAATTTTTTTGTTCGAATTATAACAGACTAGTGAAGTTATTTCACAAAAAACATGAATATCACGGTGATAAAACATCGTGGAATGCAATAAAAAATCGATAATCGTAAATTATATTTCAAAACATTATTTACTGTGTTTGACATTTTTATAAGTTATTAAAAGGATTTTTTGCACAAACGTATTTTAAGTATGATATTTAAAAAAAAATAGCTTCATTTAGTCATTTTTATGCAGTACCTATGGTCCAGAAAAAATATCTTCTTGAAATAGACATTTAAAAAAAGATATTATTGTGTTAAAACTGAGGCACGAGGTATAAAAATTAAAATACTTTCAGGACTAAAACGTCATAACGAATAAACATAAGAGTATTGTATATCCCTTTCTTTGTAGTTGTTGGTGGCAAATGGTAGAGAAACATAGCAAACTGCTTTTGTATTATTTATGATTGGAGAAAATCTAGGCAAGGTTTCTTGCTGTTTATTTTGTAAAGTGTTTTGTTAGACGTTTCCTTGTCGAGTAATTTTCTAAGCTTAATGTTTTATTTTACTTTTCGTTTTCATGTTGGAACTATTATAAATGCTTTATTGAAATCGAAATTTATAACTATTACTTTGTGGTCAATAGAAGTTCCCGTTAAAAAAATGGTTCCTGTATAATTTTGTTACATTTTACGTAATTTAGTTATCTCCGTACACACAGTACATTCATCTGTATTTTCATAATCGAATAATTTATTTATTAACCTCTCACGCTATCTAGACATACGCGATGTCCCTAACGATTTTGGTACTGTAGCATACTAGAACCACACGGTGTCTCTAATGCTCTAACTATGTTTTCATAATACACAACACACACAACACAATAATAAACATTTATAAAAAAATCCGTTAATATCAGAGTATTTAATAATAGGTAAGTTCTAAATTTCAGTAAATATACTTGAACCCAGTCAAAACACTAACGTAACGAGTCAACATTATCTCATTTCTAATTTTCCATCTGTAATTTGAATAGCCTGAATAAGTAATAACGCTGAAATTCTAACTGCTGCGTAATAACTCCTAAACAAACTCGCTAATCCGGAATTAACGCAGCTGGTAACATCTCGTAGAATGTCAACCTATGCTTATATAATATGTATACACGGTGTAGTATTTCATGGACAATTACCATTAGATAATAGGGTTGTGGTTTATGTTAAGATAGTGGTGAACTTTTCAACAGCGGAGAAAAATACTATTTAATTTATCCAATTTCCGTTGTAAAAGCGCTTGTTTGTAATGTGTCGTTGAGGTAGAAAGCCAAAACAGTAAGAATATTTTATATGATTTTTTTTCAATTATTTTGATCATCAACATATAATTGATGTTATGATTATATCTTCAATTTACATAGGTAAGAGTATTTCCACAAGAATTAACAGACGAAACACATTTGGCATTGAGCGGGATAATCTTAATGTTTTAGTGCTATAAAAAGGGATACAAGTAATATGAAAACAATACAGATAGAAAAATTATATAGTTATAGACAAGATATTAATCTTGTTTACTTGCCACAATTTTATTCATAGAACTTACCTACTGCTTTTTTACGAATTGCGTACCCTAGCACTGTTCGGCTGTTTCCGTGACAATTCGTGCACGGTCGGCAGAGGAATCGGTTACGGTCAAAAGATTAATGCTACCAATTAACGGCTGCGTCGCGCTAAACCTGACCACCCTGTATCTACATACCGTCGCCGTAGAGTGCTACTACCTACGTGATTTGAAAGTGAATTTTCCAGGAAAGAAGTGTGGTGTAAAATTTGGTTAGTACACATTATTTCAAATAAGAATTTAAGTTTAGTAAAATTAAACTTTATTGGATGCTAAAGTACAGCACTTTAGCAATTTTTAACGTATTTAAACAGCTCTTTACTATAAATGAATAAAAACAAAATGTGTAAAAATTTTGTAATGGAGATTTTTATTCCACCGATACCAGTGCCAACAAAAGTAATTTATATCGTAATCAAACCACAGGTTTAAATAATATATGGGCAATAGCCTATTTTTCACAAATCAAAATTATTTAAGTCGTTATGTATAATATGACATTGTTTTATAAGTAATGCAGACATGTCGAAGGATACGATAGTGTGCAAGGCCAAGTTTAAAATGTTGATAATATATATAATTTCAAGCCCACGTATGGTAATTTTCAGGTTAGTTTTCTCTATATTTGTTTACTACACTGAGATGGTAAAGTCATCTTCAAAAATAATTTTAAGTTTAAGATATATTTAAACACAAATAGTTCTTGAAACTATTTTTCTGGATGTAAATCGAGTAGCGAAAAACCTAAGAACTCGATATAAACAGTTCCGCTAATATTATGTACTAGTAATTAAAATTTTGTAGATTAAGTGTATGGCAATGGTCTTATTTTTATTTTAGACAGGCAACACTTTTCTTTCTCTTCTTTGAAACTCTTGCAACGGCATGTCTAAATTTATAACATTTATTGAAATTAAGAACAACTGTTTTAAGTTCAACTTGCATTTTTTTGTACAGTTTCATTTCCAAATACGAGTATATGATTAAGGCAATTTTCACTATAATAAAATATTCTAAAGTATTATCATGAAGTATTGTTTAATATATATACTTCATGATATATATATATATATATATATATATATACACACACACTTATATTATTATTATATACTTAAATAATAAAAAGTAGACAAAACTAACCAGAAAATTACCCCGTACTTAACGAGTTCTTAAATGGGTAATTTTCAGAAGTGAAATTGTTAAGAACTTCTTACTAGAAACTATTACTTTGGGATCTAATTAAGGTGGTTTACATTAATCTTAGACATAAATTGTTGATGATTTTAGAGTCTTACTCAGTCAGTCTTACAAACTTATGGTCATGGGAACTGCAAAGAGCCTGAAACGTTGTTGGTTTGGTTGAAAAAAAAACATATATACGCAATTTAGATCCAATGAAAAAGTTTAATTTCCAAATTTCCAATAGAGAATTTAAAAAAAATATGACACATGAGTATAATTCTGTTACATCTATTATATTGAAGTTAGCTTACTGTAATCTGCATATAATATAATAACAGATACCGTGTTGTGTATAAAATTGGCAATTTGGCGTGAGTGCGGGCGTCGTTTTACACCTGTGGCGGCAAATATTGACGTTGAATTAATTAATTATTTATCCGGTGAATTTGGACTTGATAGGACTTTGTTAATCGCGATATTTCAGATGTTTGCTCACATTTGTGCAGGTTAGCACGACCAAATACAAATTATTAAGTTGTCAGTTTTCGATATTGCAATGTAAAGCCTTATGTAAATTACGTGAGGTACAAATTTTGATTGGAACTGGAAAACTTTGCATATATCGAGTTTTGGACTACTACTCACTTTATTTCCTGTTTCCAAGCTTCATGCTTATTTTTTTAAATGAGCTTAGTTAGTTTTATAGAAAAATGTGTATTGTTAACATACACATACAACAATACATAAGCTATACCGAGTTCTTAGGTTTTTGCGATTGTTGGACATAGGAAATTAAACTATTGTTTCGGATCTCAATCGTGTACATTTGTTTACTACACTGAGATGGTAAAGTCATCTCCAAATAATCATTTTAAGTTTAACATATACATATTTACACACAAACAGTTCTTGAAACTATCTTGCGGGGTCTAGATCGCGTAGCGAATAACCTAAGAACTCGATATAAATAGTTCTGATAATATATTTAATAGTAATTAAAATTTTGTAAATTAAGTATATGGCAATGGTTTTATTTTTATTTTAGGCAGGCAACACTTCTCTTTCTCTTTTTTGAAACATTTGCAACGGCATGTCTAAATTTATAACATTTACTGAAATAAAGAACAACTGTTTTAAATTCAAGTTGCATTTTTTTTTGTACAATTTCATTTCCAAATATATGATTAAGTACTATTTATAAACCTCGATAACATCGAAGTAGACCATAAAAAATTTAAATATTGCTTCTTCATGTTATATATCAAAGTTGAATTCTTTTGTTACCGATACCTCCACGTATGTATGGCTATTTCTTCTTTATATTTATAAATGTATCGAGCTAACGTCCTATTAGTCAATTCAATTTCCATTAATAGTACTCTAGAGCAGTTTGGTAAGCAACTCTAGATCCTTTACTTGGCCAGAGGATTCTTTCATCCCCTAATTGCAACGT